AAAAAAATGGTCACAATGTGTATCACCTTTTAGGATTTTCACAATTCTTTTTGGACCAGGTTCATGTCTCATAAACCACTGTATGGTAAAAGACTGCCTGCCAAATTTGAGGCCACCAGTAGTCAAGGCTTAAAAGAGATTTGGTGAACTGTAGGGGGAATTTTGTGGTACAAAGGATCTCTGTCCACTAAAATGCATAGGTGGCCATGATGGTTTAGCAGGCCTCTTCCTTATTCTACCCTTCTGTGGATGGCAGTGCATGATTTTAGACCTTCTTCTGGCTCTGCTGGTACCAGGTGACTGCTGCCTTTCTTCTGACTCACAAATCTGATCCTTTTACTACCCTGCTTACAATCCTTTAAGGATTCCCTATCATCTCCAAGATCAAGTCCAAGGCTATTAGCATCACATTTAAGCTTCTTTATAATCTGGCCCTGACCACTACTAACTCAGATGCTATGCTGTCATCTGAAATACGAAACCCAGTGTTTATATAATTATTGAGTTCAAATTCCAGCTCTGTTGGTATTCGTTGATTTCCTAGGGTACAAGAGAGAACCTTCCTTTCTTCAGTTGAGGGTGGTCCACAACCAACATAGCCTAGTTTCCACTGGTTTGTCTGTTCGGCCAGTTCTTGAGGGTCCACGCCTGCATATGGGTTCTAGTTCTGGAGTCAGTGTTCCCCTTTGGTCCTTTTTACAGATGCCAACCCATTAATTCTGACTCCTCCATACCTCATGATAAATTGTTTCTCAGGGGCTCTATCCTTTCGGGTAGTCTGTTTGCCCTTGATCAGGACCTCCCTGTCCATCACACACATTCTAATAACTTAAAACCTCAAAACAATGAACAAGGGATCAAGAGGCCCTTTTATCCACAGAGACCCCATTGTCTATGTACATTTTTGGATGTCTAACTCTTCCCAGCAGCATCTAAGGTCCATCCAGCAATCAATATGTGTCTGACACAACGTTTATAGGACCTGAGTCCAGGTCCTAGTTTAGCCAAAATGTGCTAAAACATGTGCATTCAATTTTAGGGAATTCATAGATTCTTTGGAGTAGGGTTGCTGGATATAATACAGATGCCCAGTTAAATTTGAATTTCTGACGAGTGATGAATATTTGTATGGATAATTATGCATTTTGTGTGTGTGTATGTGGGAAGAAGTCCAAACAGCCTCAACAGGTCTATGTCTAAGAGCTTCTAATGCAGCATTTGCTGAAGGTACTGATATGCTTGAGTGACTCAGAATAGGTGGGAAAAACTACTGCATGTAACATACTTATATTTAAAAAAACTATCATTCTTTACCTGAAATTAAAATGTAACTGGGCATTGGGGCCGGCCGAGTGGCGCGATGGTTAAGAACTGGCTTGGGATGCCAGAGGGCCCCGGTTCGGATCCCACATATGAGGGTCAGTGACACTAGACTGAAGAACAAAACGACAGCAACTTGTCTGTTCCTCTTCCCCCAATTCCCCAGCGCTGTTCCCATCCCCTCAATTCCCCAATAAAAATTTAAAAAAAAAATGTAACTGGGCATTGTAGTTTTTTACTTACTAAGTCTGGCAACAACTGCCTTTCTTAGGTTCATGAATTAGAGTAAGAACTAGTATAGACAAGAAAAGGACTACGTGTGTTTTTTCTTTTTTACCAAGTTATTTAACCATCTAACATTGAAACACCAGGATGAACTGGCAGACTCACTTCCAATTCCTTTAGCTCTAATTGTCAGAACATTATTATCATTATTGTCTTCAGATTTTCCATTGTTATAGAGTGACTGTGAGACTTAGTGTCACCAATTATGGCCAATAACTTCCTTGTTAAATTCCTAGGGCGGAAAAATGTTGCCTAAAGTTCTGGAAATCACAGACTTGGGAAATTAAGTTACATAAATAACAGATGTTCAGGCTGAGGAAGGAAGGGAGCTGAAGCAAGTACTCTCAATTATCTAACAATCCCATGTGGTCCAGACTAGAATTATGGGAGAAAATTGAAATCTTCATTTCTATCCTACCATTAAGTCCTATCACATCCACCATTTAGTCCTTTTTCTCTCACCACTACTTGTAAGTCCATAATCAGGCTAACTCTCCTACCAAATTCTTCTAAAGCAAGAGGTCTTTCACATTTTTTTTTCTTTGGTAAATTTTGTTTGGAAAAAAATTCCAAACAAAAATGTGGTAAAAAAAAAATGTATAAAGAAATGTGGTTAAAAAAAAAACAAAGTTCAAACAGTGCGCATGGTTATACAATGAAATACAAGTTTCCTTTCCATCCTGACCCCTAGGTTCCTGGACCGAAGGTTCTTAACTTGGCTTAGGGACTGGGGTCTAAGGAAGGGTTTCTAGAGTAATGTGAATTACCTCAACGCATAATTTTCAATGTATTCATAATTGCGCATTTTTATGAGAAGAGGATCCAAACTTTTACCTGAGCCTCGAAAGGGTCCGTGCCTAAGAACTCTCGAGGCAGGAATTTCTGAAGGGGTTGATGCGCCCAAATGTCTCGGAACGGGCAAGGTAAAAATCCTGGAACAAGTCGTCCCGTGTCAAAAGTCTACCCCACCCACTCAACTGCGGCCCCTGAAGCACGTTATCTGTGGAAGGGATCACTGCTCTTCCCAAGTTTTCCGCCTGCCGCATTCCTTCCCTCCAGCGCGTCGGCGTGCTCTGACGTCATGACGCCGCACACGCAGTCCCGCCCCTGCAGAGATCGGTGCTGGGACGGAACCCGGGTTTCTCTCAAACCCGGAATGTGAGGCTTTGGCCCGCTGTCTCCGGCTCCCTACCCCGCTCTGTACCCGGGCCTGCTGCCGGTGCCCCACAGCTCGCCCCGGAGGAGCCAGGACGGCCGTGCCCTTTTGCCGTGTGCCCGCGTGGCTGCCGCCGCCCCTCCGATTCCTCCGGGGCCGCAGAGGAGTTCGCTACGGAGGGAGGCGGGGGCCTTCGGGAGGAGGAGGCGGAGGAGGCGGAGGAGGAGGGAAGGAAGATGGCCGCCGTGGAACTAGAGTGGATCCCAGAGACTCTCTACAACACCGCCATCTCCGCTGTCGTGGACAACTACATCCGCTCCCGCCGAGACATCCGCTCCTTGCCCGAGAACATCCAGTTCGATGTGTATTACAAGGTACGGACTGTGGGCCTGCTTTCCGCTCTCCTGCCGCAACCCATGGGGCCGCACCCCCTTCCACGTCTGCGAACCCCCCGCGGTTAACCCCTTACCCCTCCTGGCAGGATTGCCTCCCAAGATAATCTGGTGCGGTCTCGGGGTTGCCAGAATAGAAATACCCTATCTCCATGTCCTCTCGCTCAAGCTCTTGGGCCTTGATTGGTATTTCTTCCTAAGGAGCCTTTCCTTGTGTTCCCACCTACACTGTGGCCCCCCTGGGTAGGCCTTGCGTGGACTTCCTCTATTGCGCCCTTGTCCCGCTCAGTCCTTCCTTTCTAGCCTGTGTCTCCGGGATATTTTCTGCCCTCTCTTTCCAATTAAGTGTCAGCATCAGCTGGACTTTTTGCTCTGCCCCCCACCCCCGCCCCTTCCTACTTTCTCCTCTCGCCGCCCTCCTTCCCAAGGATTTTTTTCCTGCTTCGTGTTCCTTGGTTTCTCTTTTCTCATCCTAATCGGGAGGGAGTTGAGGAATTATTGGAAACAATCGTGTGCCTGACTCGCATATTCTTTAAAGCTCTGGTTTTCGTTTATAATTGGAGTTGACTTGGGGATTTTATTAATGTTGGAGTGGTGATAACCTAGTTGAAAGGAAGAGGGGAAATATTTCCTGAAAGAAAAAAAAATACTTTAGAATTTAAATTATGTTCATGTATTTGAAAGTTGCAACCTTCTAGCATTCCTAAATCACTCCCCCTCAAAAATCTGAACAAAAAAAATTCTCCCAAGTCACTCGCCAAGGAGTTTCAAGGGTTTCAAGGGTAAGAGTCTTTAGACGTGGACAATTTTTGCAGTGTTTAGAGAGGGAGGAGAACTTTATGGACTTGGAGCCTCCCTTTTCCTCTACCCCACATTTGAATGTGAACAGTGGATTTATTATTCAGTTCTCCTTGCCTTGAATTGGCGTGGATAACTCCTATTCTCTAGTAGCCACCCATACACAATTTGACCAGAAGTAAAATATGATTTATTTTTTAGATCTTAAATATTTCCTCTTGATTTGTAAATTGGCTGGAACAGTGTAAACTGATATTTAACAGATGTGTATGTTCTTATATATGTATGGTGTTTTATGGCAGTTGTTTTATTGGGAAGATTGCCCACTTTCTCCACCCCAGAATAATTTTTCAGAAAACAGCTGACTTGCTGCATTCTACTAAATCCAGCTGCTTTACACCAATTCTAAAAACTCAAATGTTTTTTCCCCCTAAATATTTGGAGAAGATTCATTTTGGTCATTCATATTATTATGGGGAATGGAGGGAGGGTTAGAGAAAAACCTTCCTTCTTTCCAAATCCCTTTGATACATTGACTTTTGTGTATATCTAAGGAAATTTTGTATATTTAAGATTCATTCCTCCCAGGGAAGGACGAGTTAGAGCTGTCTTTCTCAATCTGGGAAACTGCAACTTTGTGTGTGTGTGCGCTAACTGTTCATTTTATTAAATCATATGTAGTATTTTACACTTTTTAGAGAAATTTAAATTTAATCAGAGTACATTAGTAGCTGAATTCCCTCAAAATGCTTGGATCTCTTCTCGTAACTTGATTCTAATTGAAACTTTTTATTTGAATATTATTAGTGAGTATGAACAGATGGTGCTTTTGCCACATTTGTTTCACAAAGTTTTAATGTTGCTTCTTTTTGTTACACTTTTACTCCTTAATAGTTGTATGTCTTTTGGGAGTATGGCCCTGTACTAAGATGAAAGAAGGTATTTAAAATGTGCCTGGAGCTGTGTGAAAAGTTTTTACATGTTAGCTTATTTAATCCTCACAATTAAACTAGGGTATAGTAGGATATAACCAACCCTATGTGAGGTGAGAAAATTAATTTATTGGGTTGTCGGAAAAGTCATGACGCATTTTTTGCAATGAAAAACAAAAAATACGTCTTGACTTTTCCAATAACCCAATAGTTAAGGTTCCATACCTAGTATTTCGTTCCTGTGGACCTTGCTTTCTTGATTGGAACGATTTTGCATCTTGAGGTAGTAGATTATTTTGCTGAAAAACTTATAGAACTAATTTTTTATTAACTTTTAGAAATAGAGTGAAAGTCAGTAATGCGTATAAATATAAGATCCTCATCCCATGCCCAATTAAAAAATTTTAAGGGGCTTACTGTTTACAGTTTTCTCCAATTTAGAGCCAAGGAGAAACTCATCCTTCCATCAGTCCCTATTTCTTTTTTTTAAAGATTTTTATTGGGGAATTGGGGGGAGGGAAACAGACAAGTTGCTGTTCTTTTGTTCTTCAGTCTAGTTGTGGATGACGTTGCTTCACTGGCCCAAGTTGGCACCATCATTGCACTCTTTCCGGGCGAGGCAGATCAGTCGCTGGCTTCTGGACGGCTGCTCACACTGGCTGCTGGCCGCTTACTCTGGCTGCTGGCTACATACAGTAGCCCATGGTAACCCACTGCAGCAGGGGCTGCAGCCTATGCCGTTGCTGGCGATTCACAGCAGCCCAGCTCCAGGTTGAGCTGTTGTTCAGCATCTAAGCTGTAGAGGGCAGTGTCACTGGCCGTCATATGTGGGATCCAAACCAGGGCCCTCTGGTGTCCCAAGCCAGCTCTTAACCAACGCTCCACTCGGTCGGCCCCATCAGTCCCTATTTCTATCAATAGGCATAGTCATAGACAAAATTATAGTATTTGTGGAACGAAAAATTTCCCCCATCCCTCTTGATTGGGTAGTTTAGTGTCACTATGTTAATTTTTGTCAGTAGCTTTAGGTGAAGGTACCTTCATGGTCAGACAGTTTAGGAGATGAGATTATGGAATGAATGGGAGGTGAGGAAGTAGACATGCTGACTGCTTCCTGAGAAGGGGATGGAGAGATGTCGATGTGTACAAAGGATAAAATGTGAAGAGTTTTTTTTTTTTAAAGAATGGAATACATTATAATACATTTATTGGCTGAATGGCAGAAATCAAAACACAGGTTGAATATACAGGTGAGGTGGGAAATAAATTATGGATCAAAGTCCCTAAGCAGGAGCATTAATTAATCTTGCCTCTTCTTTCACCATGCATAAAGTAAGGTATCAGTCTTAAATTAGAGTTGGAGAAAGACTACTTCTTCCTCTAAAGTCAAATGGAAAGAGTTAAGGACATTAAATACCAACATAGGTAAATTTGCAAAGACTGGTTGTCAATAAAGAGATCATGTGCTGATAGTGAGGGGTGGTAGTGGTGGTTTTTATGTAAGAAGGCTAAACCGAAGTTGGAAATAGACACAGATGTCTATGGGAAGGGAAGTTCACTAAAAATAGGTTTAAAAAAAGTTGATGGATGGTTCAATAAAAATCAATACCCTACAGGATAATATCTTTAAATCTGAATGTTTTTTATCCAAGTCACTCAACCATTTAGGTATAGATGTGGATAAGGTGAATAGAAGGAATTGTAAAATTGTACACCAAGTGAAAGAAAATAGACGGAAGGGCTGGGTTCTTTAAAGAATGAAGTGTGTGATCTTTTCTGTGTATTTTAACCGCTGAATGGTCTATTTTGTGTCCTGTTACAGTTACAAAATTTTCCAGAGTTAACTTTCAGCTGAATGAATTTTCAGTAATGTGTTCTATTGTTTTCAAATTTAAACTTAATGATTTTTATTATTATTACTATTATTGTAAGCCTCATGCCAAAAACCATAAAATTCTTGCCTGATTTAGCGTTAGTTTATTTTTTTCTTTTTCTGTGTATATTTCTGTTGTGTAGCTACATACAGCCTCAACCAATATTCTGAAAACCGTTTAAAATTGGCTAGTAACAAATTGAAAAAAATTATTGCAACATATTTGACAGCTAAAGAGTTAATAATCTTTTCATATAAAGGGCTCTTAGGATTAATAAATTGAGAATGAAAACTTTGTGGAGGAGGGACATAAAAGAACATAAATAACCAGCCAGTGTATCTTAATGGGAAGGGAATATGTTATAAATGTCAACTCATCACAGTTTAAACTGTGAATTTATCACAATTTGAATCAGACTCTCAGAATTTTATTGGGTATAGAAAACTGATTAAATATGAAGTTCATCTGGAGGAATTAATTACATGAGAATTAATGAGCCAAGGAAATTTTAAAGATGCACAATACTTAGGAGAGATGTGCATTTATAAGACAGTCAATTTTGTTAGAAAGCAACATATTTTAAAACTGTAGCATTGGCACAAGAACAGCAGAGAGAGAAATTGATTCATAGAACAAAGTAGACATCAAAGATAGAAACCAAAGCATAATTAAGAATTTAGTATACGATAAAGTTGAGACAATGCTATATTTTAAATAAATGGGGGAAGCATCCAAAAATACCTTGGGCAACTGGCTGTTTGTGGGAAAAGTTAGACCTCTGTTTCACACCATATACCAAAATGAATTCCAGGTGATTATTAAATATGGCAAATGAAATCATAAAAGTATCAGTAAATTATTGGGTTAGTATCTTACAGTGGGAAATGACTGAAATTTCTTTAAAGAAATTATTTTTAAGGTAATTTACAAATTAAAAAAATGCTAAATGTTATAAAAATAAATAAGGTAATAAAAGGTGTTACTGATCTTGCCAACACTGGAATGCCATCTTGGCATAGAGAAGGCTTTTCTAAGCATGAAACCAAAACCCAGGAGGAAAAAAAGAAATTGAAACTTTGGAGTACATAAAAAATAGGAGGGAAATTGTAAGCACATTTTCAAAAAAGACTGCAAATGACAACGTTCGACAGATAAGGGGTGGATTTCCTAATACAGAAAGATCTAATACTAATGAGTATGCAAAGGACAACCACCTTATTTCCAGAAAACCTGAACAGCCAGCACATAGAAGAGGAAAATATGAATGGCTAATATCAAAAGATGCTCAACGGAAAAGCAAATTAAAATACAATATCAAGCCAAAGCAAACATGAAGAAAATCTGGAGGACTTACACCACCAAATATCAAGCTGTAACA